GATCCCTGGGGCACTCCAGGAGCAATTAGAATTGAGTGGGTTTTGAAATTTGAGTTAAATGAACTGAGTGCAGCTGAAGAGATACGATTTAAACCAATTTAAGGCTGTATCTGTGACGATAGAAGCCTTTCTGTCTGCGAAGTAGTGTTCAAGACCACAGAGTGGGAACGCAAGATCACTACTCAGTGTAAGGTTTATGCCACAGCTGCAATTAACAGTACTGGTAATTACTAAAATCTTTTTTTTATGTTTTTGGAATGGTTAACTCATTATATGCCCAAGCACTTTAATCAAAATCATATTATGATATGATATATTGTGATATATAATTATTATTGTTATGCCCTAATTGTTATCTACTAATTTTTCAAATATAGTGTTTTTTTAAAAGAAAAAAAAACAGTAAAGCACATTATTACGTTTTGATTAAGATGCCATATTAGTTATTTATTTACAGTGATGAACAGAAAAAACATGTTTGACTGTTATGCTTGATTAATTTCTGACTCCCAAGTTTGAATTTTCCTAATAAATAATATCACTTTTAGTTTTTATAGATTTCTATTTTTTCTATAGTTTTCCTACATTTTATTTCTATATTTTTCTTCTGTCTTGTTTTTATGGCAGGTGGTTAAATTTGTTAAGCACTGTAAGTGTCAGTAATACATTGATTAAATATTTTGTCTCATCACCACCCCGCCATGCTGTATAATTTTTGGGTCACATTTAGTTTACTTATGCAATGTTCAATTGGAAATCTTTTTTTTTGTTGTTGTTTTTTAACTGTGCCACTAATTGTAAATTTTTCCAGCATCAGCTCGATGTTTAAAATGTAAATGTTATGACAGTTTGTTGATTTCATGTTTATGTCTTGTAAGCACATTAATTCAAAGTGCTGCACAAATATTTGTCGATGTTACACATATTTAATACTGGAGAGTTAATCACATTCTGGAGCCTTGCGCAGTTTATATTTACCTACATGTCGCTCAGTTGAAGCGCTCGTCTTAATCGTCTTAGCAGAAATTAAGGACTGCATGTGTTGCCCAAGGACACATCAGTAATCTGCAGGGCTACTGAATGCATTGGTTGCTCATGGATAAAATCTCTCGGACCTCTGCTATGAATTGCAGTATCCCACTGATGAGAATAAAGCACTCTCACAGGCTATGGTATATTGTAATTAGGTTTATTTTGGGCTCACATAAAATATAGAGGGCCCACAGAGGTCACCTCACGATGACAACACTGATGCTTTGACAAGTGCTGTTAGGAAAATAAACAATGCCACAGGAAAGGATTTTAAATATAGCTAAATTCATTTCTACTGAAAGAGGTGGACACAGTTCAGACCAGCATGGTTTAAAGCTGTATTATACTTTTACTAGCTGTTATAAAGATTGCTGTTGCTGTGGGGTGTTTTCAGCAGCATTTTTCACTTCATATAAGCCACTGCATGCTCATACAGCAGTGTCTTGTCAACCACAAAGTAGCCCTGTCCTAAAGTACCCTGCTTTATTGCTGATTTTAATCTAGATGTAACCATTTGTTAAAAACAAGACATGTTTATTAAATGAACCATTAAATTAGAATTTGACACAAAAACTCATAAGAAAATGTGTTTACTTAGGTCAAAAATCAAGGGAGCACTAAGATGATTTATTATACATATAGACTTCTTTTTACAGCCACAGGTATCAGACCTTACTAAGTTAAAGCAAATGTGGAAGGTGTTTGATGCGCCGATCTGTTATAAATGCACATAATAAGCTAGTTTATAACTTCGCTAGACATGGGAATGTTTGGAGGATCCACTTCAGCAGATATATCCACTGTGCTATCAATTCCTTCTGTTTCTGTTATTTCTGTTTTTTCCATCTGTTTTGTGAAGAACTTTTACAATTCATGATCAACTAAATTGTACAAGCTGGAGCTTATCTCAGCTGTCATTGGGCAATAGGTAAGCAG